ATATATCTGATAAATACTTAGGAAATAATTTAGATTGAGGCTTATACATGAACGTGCAAATTTTAAAAATTATTCTATATTTTATAGGTAGCCAGTGCAAGAGAACAAGATATGGAGATATATGAGAAAAGAAAGGGGCACGATTAACTAGACGAGCAGCAGAGTTAAAAGCTTTACTTAAAGGATAGAGTATAGAGTCAGGAAGGCCATAGTAGAGCGAGTTACAATGTTACAATAATCAATCCTTGCCTCTATATTGATGCGGCGTGACATCCCACTACCACTACGATCAAAACTTTATAAATCTGTGATACGTCCGGTGTTGTTATATGGTGCAAAAACATGGCCAGTGACAACCAAACTGGAACAACAACTTCAACGAACCGACATGAAAATGCTCCGATGGATGCAACGAATTAGTCTGAAGGACCACATCAAATCTACCGAAATCCTGCGTCGTGCTGGTTTAGATGATATAAAGGACGAATGCCGGCAACACCGTCTGCGGTGGTTTGGTCATGTCAAACGAAGTGGAAACAGTGCCATAACTTCTCTTGCAGATGTTGAAGTACCTGGCACACGTCCCAAAGGCCGTCCAAAGAAGTCCTGGTCGCAAACAATTGAGCAAGACATGAAAGTTCTAAATTTAAATGATATGGATACAACTGATCGCTTAATTTGGCGCAAAAAATTGATGGCAAAGAAATTAACGTCCTACCTCGTGAGAACTGAGTCTCTGGACGCTAAACGATGATTGATTGATTGACTGACTGACTGACTGACTGACTGACTGACTGACTGACTGACTGACTGACTGACTGACTGACTGACTGACTGACTGACTGACTGACTGACTGACTGACTGACTGACTGACTGACTGACTGACTGACTGACTGACTGACTGACTGACTGACTGACTGACTGACTGACTGATTGATTGATTGATTGATTGATTGAAAGAAATTAAATATTGTATTGTGTTGTATTGTATTTTAATGTATTGTAAGTGTTAGAACAAAAAAGTTATGAATGTATGCGAATAGAAATGCTACGTTAATTAGAATCGTGTTTTATATTTAAACTTTTGTTGATTAAAATATCAGACAACGACTGATATATTTATTCCTGCTGTAAACATTGAAACACATGAAGGAAGACAGCGCGGGTCGTGTCGGCAATCCACTCTCGAAATATTTGCATCAGTATCTAAAGGATGGCGTCCTAACATCTCACCATGGCAAGAATGTTGATGACATGATCGTGCAAACTGCTAGGTCGTCTTACTGGAAAAACAATGTTGATAGGATCAAGTTAGAATTCCCATAGTTTTTTTATTGTTTTTTTTTTCATTTCATTACATTTTAAATCAAATTTCAGATTACGTATAATTTAAAAAAAAGAAACTTATTTAAAAGATTAAATATTTAGCAATTTATTGTAATGGTATAGTTGATATATTTTATATAACTCTAGGCAGTCACTCATGTAATTGAAATGTTATTCAGTGGTTGCGTTGTGCACTTCCAAGTTGAAATCTGTTTGCAAAATTAAAATACCTTTAAATAAAGATTATTTTAAAACAAATGATCGACCGGTTGAATCTTACAGAATATCCTTTGGTGGTCTGTTCATCAACAATCGTTTTGTTTGTAACTTTTTTAAAACTGAACAAAAAAATAATTGGAAATTGTGTAAGTTATTTAAAAACATTCAACCAAAAAAAATCATCTCGTAATGAGTAAGTGATATGATATGAATGGTCTCATGAAGCTTCATCTGGTTATGCCCCAAAACTGTTAATTCAACAAGTTAAAAAACTCGAGGAGATTATAATATATCACAAGTTGTTTTTCCGTCGTTTGCTTCGAACCTGTGATGATGTTACACGTGCCATAATTTTTATGATATGCAGTTAAAACGCATTTATTTAAAGATCACAGATGGTCGTCATTCTGGATGAGAAGCACCTGCCCGCTAAAGTCATCAAGTGAGCTTCCTTTACATTTGCTCTACAAATCATTATTTTCATTCTTAAATAATTACGATATTCGTAATAAAAACCAACTTCCAGCTCACCGAAGTACATCCAAACAGCGAAGATAGGACTTATATTGCCCAGAATAATAACATCGGGTACTGTAACAAGAAGATCCGTTGAACCAACCTGGCTCACTGCAAGCAATGCTTACGTATGTATCTGTATATTTTTATTTGTACTTGGATGTCCGTCTGTGTATGTTTATGCGTGCACATGTGTGTTTGTATGTGTGTGTATGTATGTTTCAAGTATATGTTTATGTGTGTTTCTTTTAGTTAAAAAACAACATCGCTGAGGACCATGATGATAAACTACAAACTAAAAGCAGACTATGTTTATGTATGTCTATATGTTCAGCAAACAAAGCCTAGAATATGTCTATGTATGTCTGAAATAATCTTATTGTGAATAAATATGTATTCTTGATATAATGCTATCAAATTTTTACAAAAATTTCACTAAATCAGAATACAGTAAAAAAATTAATCGTAAGAATTTTATTATTTTATATAAGTTTCGTTTAAAACAACGGATCTATTTTTGTACTTAATGCTCGTCTTGTTAAAAATTTGCATCCCTGATTCAATCTGTTTGTTACTTTTTTTAATATGTGTTTTGTGCTGATCCCTGCGATCGCTAATGTAATGGTAAGACTTCTTCTTTTTCTATTTGCCTGGTACTATGCATCTTAGTTTTTGAAACTAAAAATTACCTTAGTTCTTTTAAATTGTTAAATTTAGGAAGTTTTGTCCATTACAGAGGTATTTATTGTTTCGGACCAGAATGTTTTTGAGTTTTTCAAGTTGTCTACTGCAGTGAGACATACATACCATTCAGAGCTGTAATGACCAACTATTGTTATACAAATGTGATTTTTGATTTGCCTTCCTTATTAATTGAAAAGCCCGACCGGATAGGAAGTGAACTGAAGTGCATGGTTCAGTCTCCACCCGGCTACTGCTTCGTCGGAGCTGACGTCGATTCGCAGGAATTATGGATTGCAGCTCTCATGGGCGATTCTCTTTTTGTAGGATTGCACGGTGTGAACTATTTATGTTTTTTAACATACCTCATTATGAACTAAACACGATAATTTTTGCAACTTTGAAATCACAAAATCATCAAAATCGTATTTAACGTATTTTGAAATTATTTGAAATTTATTTGTCCTGGTTATGACATTAAACTGACCCTCACTGCCTTGTGAGTGATGTTGGATCATCAAAGGCTAGGCCCACCGCTTATAACTGTGGTTGCGTAAGGAAGGGCGTCCTGCGTAAAAATTAGCCAAATAAATTATTTATGATGATAGAAGTGACAATGGCCCTCAGTATCCGGCAGAATGGCGTCGAGGGGTATTTCGGTTTCATCATAGGTAGCCAAACGGCAACCCCCGATCTCGGGGAAAATGTCGTCTAAACGTGTGTTGTTGTTGTTGTTGTTGAAATTTCGGAAAATGAATTAAATTATGATTTTAAATCGTTTTAATTGAAATCTTATCCTATGCTGGGTTCTATAAGGGTAAGATTTTTAAAAAATCTCGAAGGAGTGGATTTTTGCAGTTCAATATTCCTCTTTAGCAGGTGGAAAAACTAATGAATTAAAAATAAGAATAAAAATTGTAAGAGAATTGAACTATTGTAGAAAATGAACTTACAGCTGATAATATTTATAATCTTTAGCATCATCTTTTACTAAATTTATTTATTAAAAGTTTTAGTTTTTTTTTAATAAAATTTCTATTCGTACCATGAGGTTGAGTATAAATGATCACTAATTTAATATATTTTCAAGCAAATAAAGTTTAAGTGTTATAGTTCATTTGAATCAATTCTTAATCTCAATTTCATGTTTTTTAATAATTGGCAACGAAATTTTGAAAATTTTTCTTTTCTACACCAAATCGATCTATCTCAGTCCTATCGACAGACTGGACAGATATTAAAATGTGATTCAAGTATTTTCATTTTTGTTGGGCTTCATTCGAATTTCACGCCCCGCCGATCCTAACCACTTCCACATGTCAAACATGGCCGAATATCGACCTGAGCCTTCACTCGCTGGTCTCCTTCCTGGCCGGCAGCCGCCACTCTACAATGGCGGACTCTTTCATGGTTTGAAAACACGTGTCGGGAGGAAGCTTGTTCGCGCCCTACTTGCTGACAAGAGACTCCGGTCTCGTCGTCGGTCATCAAGTCTTCATTCAAGGTTCATTGTTTTAGGAAAATTAATCGAGCAATGCCAAATTATGGTATTTTTATTTTTTATTAAATAAAAAGAAAACAATAAAATTAAACCTCTGTTTATATCAAATATATATGCAGAACAATAATGAAATGGAATGAGTTTTTATTCAACAACTCCAAACAAATGAAATTTGTTAGGATGTTTATAAAAAAAACGACAAGTTTATCGAGCCCGACAACTTGTCAACAAAGTTAATAATTTGACTTATCATTTTTATAATCCAAACTTTCGCTAGTTGAATATCATCATTATCCGTTTTAAATACTTTAGTAAATAACATGTAAGGCACAAACGCAGGGCGTTGACATATCGTAAAAATACGTTCTCGAAAAAGAAAGTTTGTAAAGAAAAATCTCCAAAATTTTTAAATTTATGAAAAAATCATAACGAACGCATAATTTCATAGTAAATGTGGTTTAAATAAAATGTATTTATTATTTTATAATTATTTATTTTAAAAAAACATTAATAATTTTTTATGAAATTTTGGGTGGGCAAACCGGTTTTCTAGGGGGGGAGGCAATGCTCACCCTGGCCCCCCTGTCTACGGCCCTGGGTAGACATGTTGAGTAAATGGAAAAACGGTAGATGGTGATAATAAATTTCTAGAAAGCATTTTTACTGCTCCTTCATGAATTAAAATATTGGTTTAGTGCTGTATTTATAAGTTGAAGCCCGTACTAAATGGCAATAATTTACATATGGTAAGCATAAAGAATTCAACGTACGATCTTTGGTAGGTTGATAGAGTTTGTATTTGTTGATTGAACCTAAACCTCAGGTCTGATCTATGAACATTTCTAGGAATTGGCAGATTTTAGTTTCACTTCTAATTATGCATTGTAACATTGCAACTGCAGGCTGCACAGCTTTTGGTTGGATGACTCTGCAGGGAAGCAAGATTAATGGGACTGATTTGCATAGCAGAACTGCCAACATGTTAGGCCTCGATAGGGAGCATGCCAAGGTTTGTTTCTCTGCATGTATGAATACATGCAAGTTTGTATGTGTGTTCGTTTGTGTGGTTTGTGTATGTTTTAATGTATCTTTGTGTTTTATATTTATATAAACTGTTATTCAGTTTTTGATTCTTCAATGTTTTTAAATGTTTTCATATTCGAAAGATTTTCAACTACGGACGAATATATGGAGCCGGACAGAGGTTTGCCGAGAGAATGTTGCTGAAGTTCAACTCGAAGCTGTCCAAGAAGGAAGCTCACATCAAGGCGAAGAACATGTTCTTGTCAACGAAGGGGAGGAAGATGTAGGCAGTCATGTGATGTTGTCGTCGTTACATTCTGTTTATTTAGTATTCCTAATACACCGTTATTCTTAATAATCGTATTATTATCATACTACATTCATTCAAAGCTTAAATCGGTTTGCATTTTTGATATTTTCAAAATATATTTGATGCAAATTATTTATATGTAAAACATTTACTTAAGTAGTTATAATTATATGAAATAACAGAAATGTTTCAGAAGAGCTTGGAGGTAAAAGAATATGGCATGGTGGAAGGTAGACATGTTCATTATAAATCCTTCCAATACTAGTTCACATAATTTCGTGACGTTATCGTATTTTTTGTATTGGTGTTGTTATAATAGTAAATAAAGAGTTCACGATCACATTTGCACATTTTTTGTTAATCAGTGAGTCTCACATGTTCAACAAGTTGGAACAAATAGCGAACGACATGAAGCCACAAACTCCAGTGTTGGGCGCTCGCATGAGCTCCGCGTTGGAAGCCACAGTTGTTAACAACGACGTTAGTGAGTTATTATGCTTCTTTCTGTTTTATGGTTGTGTCTTATTAATTGAATAAGTTTTTTGTTGTTGAATTTTTTAATTCGTAACGCATTTGTCACAGTTTATGACCAGTCGTGTGAACTGGGTCGTCCAGAGCTCCGCTGTCGACTATCTACACTTGATGCTGGTCTGCATGAGGTGGCTGTTCAGTGAATTCCACATCAGAGGAAAGTTCTGCATAAGTATCCACGACGAGGTGAGATATTTGGTGTGTGAGGAGGACAAGTACAGAGCCGCTCTGGCACTTCAAATTACCAACCTCCTCACTCGCTCCATGTTTGCTTACAAACTTCAGTTTTGCGATCTCCCGCAGGTACGTGTACAAATTTGATTTCATTAACTTATATGCGCATATCTTCGCCTATTTTATAAAATTTTTAAAAATATTTCAAGTCGGTGGCATTTTTCAGTTCCGTGGAGATAGACAAGTGCCTGAGAAAGGACTGCAAGAACGATTGCATTACCCCTTCCAATCCACGAGGCCTTCAAAACGAATACAACATTTCTAAAGGTCTTCTTCCATCGACTTATTCATTACTTCTTTACTTCTTTTTTGGCAAAACATTAACGATATTGAACATTTTTTCAGGTGAATCGCTCACTATTAAAGACGTACTGGAGAAGACTAATGGACAGTTATGTAAATAGATAAAATTTTATATAGCTTTGTATCGTGTATTTAAAATAAATTTGTTTCAGAGACAGTGGCTGTTGATGACCGTTTTCAATCAAATTTTATTTTCTTGTTGAAGCATCTTGTATAAAAGCAGTATATTTAAATCAGATTTTAAATTTTTTTGTTGGAGGCTAGAACGATTGAAAATCGAAATTTATATTAAGTTAATTAACGTTCCTTGCCCCAGATGATTTTGTTATTTTTGGAGCCTTTGTGCATCTGCAGGCTTGGGCTGGGTCTACGGGACACCGGGAAATTTCCGGTGACTGCCGACTGCCAAAAAAGTTATATTTTTAGTTTTAGCTGAGATTACCTTGGATTGCTTCAAATAAGATGTCAATCTGAAAGCAAAATCATTTCATAAAAAGTCTCAATATTTATATAAAAGCTTCCGACGTCAATGGTTATAACTAGGGCTGTAACAGATTTGACTTTCAAATCCCAGCCAAAGCCTATTTTAGCCGAATTTACGAACAGCCGATGCGCAAGCCGGATTTGTGTATTGGTTACATTTTATTCTATAACTTGTGACTATGACTTCATTAGCTTTGCTGTTACATTCCTAACAATAAAGAATAACCTAATAAATTAATTTTAAATTATTATATATAATATAATTCTTAATACTATTATATACGAACCCTTTATTTGTTTTTTTATTAATATGCTTACATATCATTCTATTCTATACTTATAGTCAAACATTCGTGCCACAAAGTTAGATTATCTACACCACACGACATGCATACGTATTTCGATTGCACGCGCAGGCACCGCATTTTACACGAATAGCGTTTGTTAGTTTTCAATTTTGAACTGACAGCATTCGAACCTGGCTATCGCGTAATAAAAGTGCGAAGCATGACACTTTTGCCGACTGACTCATCTTAAAACTTCGTTATATTACATCTCTATCAAAACCTAATAAGTTAATTTATAATCAATACGAGTCGAATTAATACCTTCTCATCGATTTCTGCTGATCCATTATATGCAAGGAAAACAAATATACATTAAAAGGCAAGGTTGTTAATACCGAAGCACCGGTAAATCGTCGATACTTTTTTGGTGTCGGTATCTTTATCGCCGATCATTCTAAATGGGGTTGTGCAACGGTTATCGTCGATGTTGTCAATATTCGATACCAGTACTTTTAAATGGAATGGAAAAACTCGCAAACCATAATTGTGTACACTGTTGTTCATTTTTGATTGAATAAAATTATTATGTAAGCGAACAGTTAAAACGGCACGTTTTGCAGTTTTCCATGGCAGCGTTTATTTTCCTGTTTTTTTTAATGGCGATGAATAGTTGTCTATTTGTTCCTGAAGAATTTTTATAAAGTTTTTAAATTTCGCTTTAAAAAGTATCGCTAAAAGAATCGGGGTCGATGTTTTGAAATCTAATGTTAGTACCAGTGGTTGTTTTTGGTATCGCAGATCTTTCAAAAGTGTCGTCAAAAACCCTGTTAAAACGTAAGCAAGTAGTGTTGTATCAATGTTGGATTCCGGTCCGATAGCTTAATGAAGTACACATTATATGCCAATTACCATTTACGATGATCAAAGAACTTGAACAACTTTATTTTGAAAGTGTCATACATTTTTTTTATAAAAAACAAATTGCTAATTTAATGTTAACAAAGCTGAACGTTAAAAAGTGCAAATTGTTTGCAAAAGAAGTGAATTACCTGTGACATGTCATCTTCCAATAGAGTGAGAACAGGTCCAAATAAAGTAGAAATGGTAAAAAATTGGCCAACACCGAATGATAAAATGATTTACACAGTTTCCTTAGATTAGCTACACACTACCGACGTTTGTAAAGGATTTCGCAAAAGTTGCACAACCACTACATCAACTCACGGAAAACGAGCAAGCGTTTAATTGGAATGAATTGTGTGAAGCATCTTTTGAACGACTAAAAATGGAATTATGTAGAGCTCTTTTGTTAGCATATCCAATCCGAGGTTAATCATTTGTGCTAGATACGGACGCAAGTAACTGTAGAATTGGAGCGGTTTTGTCACAACAGGTTGATAGAGAAGAAAATGTTTTGGCCAATTACAGTAGAAGTCTTACAAAACCTGAACGTAACTACCGCGTGACAAGAAAAGGGTTGCTAGCGATAGTCATGGCAACAAAAAATTTCCACAAGTATCTCTACGGACAAAAATTTCTTCTTCGAACGGATCATGCAGCGTTAAAGTGGTTGCTCAATTTCAAAGATCCAGAAGGACAGGTGGCACGATGGTTGGAACGATTACAAATGTACGACTTCAAAATTATGCACCATAAAGAAACTTTCACAACAATGCTGATGCTTTTTCTCGTCGACCTTATTTATCAGGTTGCAAATACTGCAGTCGAAAAAGAAAAAGTACAAACAGAAGATGTACGAAAAATTACGATAACGACAGATAAAGGGTGGCCACCGAAAAAAATGGCAAAACATATCTGGGTTCGGTTCGTCGTTAAGAAGCTTTTGGGCTTAGTGGGACTTTTTGCATTTGGAAGAGGGGTTTCTTAAACAAAAATGGGAACCAACAGATGGATCGAAACATCATATGCAGATTGTGTTACCTAGGAATAAAATCGCCAAAATTCTTAAAGAAATGCATGGTGACTCATCAAGAGGACATCTTGGAGTTAATGAGACACTTGACAGAATACGTGAGAAATTCTACTGGGTTAACGCTCGAGAAGATGTGGAAAGTTGGTGTTGAAAATGTTAAAGGTTCCAAAAAGAGGTTACGTGAAAAAATACAAATTTATAATGTTGGTGTGCCCTTCGAAAGAAATTGCTATCGACATTGCCGTACAATTTCCTGAATCAAATGATGGAAACCGTTACATTCTGGTTGTAACGGACTATTTTAGCAAGTGGCCCGAAGTGTATCCGATACCAAATCAGATCTGGAGGCTTGTAACGTCACTGAAGAGATTGTAATGAACTGGATCAGTCGGTACGGTGTTCCCATGAAGCTGCATTCAGACCAAGGTTGATACTTTGAGTCGCAACTGTTCAGTGAAATGTGTTAATTACTGGGTATAAAGAAGACAAGAACAACTCCTCTCTACCCTCTGCCGGATGGGATGGTGGAACGCTGCAACAAAACATTAATCGAACATTTGGCCAAGGTAGCATATGGAAGTGCCATCTACAAAACTACTGGGAAGACTCCCTCAAAAATTCTTTTTGGAAGTATAATAAGAACCCCAGCTGATATGAAATATGGCGTACCGCCCGAGACACCACAATTAATATCAGATTTTAGAGACAATCTCCGTCAGCGGTTAAACAGCATCCACAAATACACGCGCGTGAAGTTGAAAAAAAATAGCTAAGCAACCAGGACCCGAAACGATCAAAAGGAAAACACTGCTGGATTTAACGCCAACGATTTGGTATGGCTGTATAACCCTCATCGGAAAAAAAGACAATCTCCAAAGCTTCAATTAGATATGGAAGGACCTTGTCAGATCATAACCCGATTGAACGACATCGTTTGCAGAATTCAAGAGTATCGGAAGCTGCGGCAAGAATGAAGATTGTTCATTTGGACAGACTGGATCCATTCTATGCAGACTGTGCAACGAACTCTGTTTGGGACGAACAGAACTGAAAGGGGTTTAATGTTATAACCAACACAAATATATTCACTGAGGCGCTAGTGTCGCTACGAACGTATACATTTCGAGAAGGAACTAGAACCTTCTGACAGCGAAATATCTAGAACGTTCGAGAAGCGTCGTTAAGACGGGTATATAAAAACATGCGAGATATAAAATGGTTGTTGTTGAATATTTGACATTGGAAAGCGATTGATTGTTAGTGTTGAAAGCGACTCTGCGTCGTATTTTTAATGTATTTGCGATATAAACGTTAGTGAATTGTTATTCGGAAAGCTATAGTTTCCGAACATTAGTTTGATAGTTTGTGAACATTAACTTTTATTAACGATTAATTATTAACATTGATTATCGATTTGTAAATAAAACGAAAGTTTAAAAGTTTTATTGTGTAGCTATTTTCCACCGGAGATAAAACGAACTCGTCATCGATCGGCCAGTTATAACAATATATACGAGTTCATAAAATGGTTCAAAACTGTATCAACTGTATCAATGTATTAAGCAAAATAGACAAAAAATTTTATTCTATCTTTCAGTCGATACAAATTTTTCGAAACTTGCAAACTTTGGACTAAAAAATATCTCGACATTGAAGTGTAGACCATGGATATATATAATATATTAAATTCATGGTGTAGACTGTTAAAAAAAATTATAGCCCACAAACCATTTGGTTACCACCCTTTTATACTCACAATTTAAATTTTTTCTGTTACAGAAATGGCTAATTAAAATTGCAACATTTCGATCATATTTTTTCACTAATTACTAAGATGGAGACAAACAAAAGTCGCGCCGAATATGTTAAATATTTGCTTTCAAATTAGCATGGGAAATGGTAACATTTGCAGATGCCAGTTGAAGGGAACGCATCGAATGTTGTTGATCTTTTTTACGTCGCCGACATCATCATCAGTAACATTTTGTTCTACATCGTTAACGCTTTCAATAATTTTTTTCAAGTTCAGTCCGTATTATGTTTAAGACCAGTCTGTCAACGTTTAAAAAAAGTAAGCAGATAGTTGTCATTACCAGGATGTCGAAGTCAGATAAAAATGTATCCGACTTCGAGTCCCAGTCCTTGATAACAAATTTTCCGGCTCCATGTTCTGATTTCGACTAAATTTTTCAACTTTTGCTCTAAGATTTTTTTAAAATACTTTAGTAAATAAAAGACATTCAAAAACATTTGAAATCAGTCAATGTATCTATTTGTAACTCTCAGAAAAAATATTTTATATGTTTGAAAATATTTTATATGTCTGTGGCTGTAACAAAAATATAACACTTTTACGTGTTTTCATTATCGATGATTCCTCTGTTTCTAAATATATTGTTAGGAAGATTCCAATTGCCAAAAAACTTTAGTGAAAAAAATTGAAAAAACGAACTACAAACATATTAACGCCAAACATTCGGTAGAATTTATAGAATATTGTAATATATATATATATATATATATATATATATATATATATATATATATATATATATATATATATATATATATAATTAAATTTTGAATTTATATGTCGCTAATTATAATTTTTTCTCATCAGCGCTCTTAATTGTATGGATAACATGTTGAAAGCAAAGCCATCATCGGTGGAAATCACTAGGAGTTACCAAATAGGCATGTCCTTAGACGTTTTCTAAACTCAGTTAATGATAATAATAACCCAGATATAGGTAAATCGGTAGGTAGTCTATTCCAAAAAATAGAGACAGCAACTGCAAAATCTCTATCTGTGTTTTCAGATTCCGATCTCTAACATACAGCATGTTTGAACCAGCAGACCTTTGACGCCCATGTGATGCTATAAATGAAACTCTAATACATTTATCTTCTGAATATTTCGAAGCTAAACCATTCAAACTTTTAAATACCATTACACCTTACTTGAACATGATTCTTTGTTTAACACACTCCTTTAGAATTGGTGATGCACGATCAAATTTTAATTTGCGGCATATCATTCAAGCGGCCTGGTTCTGAACCATCTAAAGTTTAAACAACAGTTTATCAGCTATACTATATAGAAGACTGTTACAATAATCCAATCTAGAGTCGATGAAAGCATGTACTAATAATGTCATTGTATCTCTATCTACCGATTTTGTGACGTGACGTAACTGACGTAATTGGAACGTACATTTTTGGAACATACATCTTTAACCAATAGATTGACTTGTGGACTCATTGTCATACGAAAGTCCATCACAATTCCCAAATTGGTGACCGTTTTATTAAAACTCATACTGATGTTAATCGATGAAGGTTCAACCGCTGACGTTTGTTGCCACGTACCAGCCAACATGAACTGAGTCTTAGTCTGATTCAACTTTAGCCTATATTGACCCAGCCACTAGCCGACATTTTTTTGTCAGTTTCTCTAATACGGTAGGCAAAATGAAACAAAAATCTGCATATCATTGCGTAGCCATAGCAATAATAACCACGTTTATTTACTAAATCCAGTATCTCTGCAACGTACAAATTAAAAATAATCGGTCCAAGAACAGATCCTTGAAGCGCCCCTAACCTAAGTTTAATTGGTTCCGAGAGACCA